GGTAAGGTTGCCATGGAAGGGGGGGAGTTGCTTCCCTCCGCCTGCCAGACACCTGCCGAAGCCGCGCAGGGTAAGGTTGCCATGGAGGGGGGGTTGCTTCCCTCCGCCTGCCAGACACCTGTCGAAGCCGCACAGGGTAAGGTTGCCATGGAGGGGGGGTTGCTTCCCTCCGCCTGCCAGACACCTGCCGAAGCCGCGCAAGGTAAGGTTGACGCGACCCCCCACCCAGATGCCCTCGCCTACCCCAAGTGGTTTTTTTTTTAACTAATCTGCATTTCTCCATTCGCTTCTCAGCCTTCCTTCACCAAGTATTTGTGGGACAAAAAAAAAGTTCAATCAGACTTTCTAACTTCTCGTGAGATCTCAAGATCTCACAAACACACGGCAAAGGAAACAAATTGTTTTGGAAACAAATGGGAAAAATCATTTTTTTTCCCACCCAGGTTTTTCCATTTTTTCCCCCCAGAGCTTCCCATCTCCCATTAGGTGTTAGAGTTAACGTACAGTAGGCCTGGCAGTGGCATTGGGTGCAATGCGTGAGGCGCCAAACGGCCACATTATGCTGAAACCAGCCGTTTGCCCCCTTCTGCCCAATGCCACTGCCATGAGGCCATGGAACAAGCCGGGCGGCGGTAAGGAACCAGTATAATGGCACATGGGTCAGAAGGGGGAGGATCCACCAGATCTCATGGCAGCAGCATTGGGCACGACGCGCGAGATGGCCATGGCCGGAAGCAAACAGCCGTATCGCACTGAAACTGGCCGTTTGCCGCCTCATGCATTGTGCCCTCTGCCGCTGCCATGAGGCCGCGGAACAAACCAGGCGGCGGTAAGGAACCGGTATACCGGTACCATGGGTCAGATCTGCCCTCGTCCATTGGCTTCGCCTCATCATAGAGGCAGGCCGTCAGTGCAGGCCCTTAAGTAGGGCTTACTTATATTAGGCCCACCCTCCCGAAAATTAGCTGGGGCTTGCTTTCGGGGACGGGTTTACTTTTGGGGAAACACGGTAGTATGGTAGTTGATGGAGTCCAACACCATCTAGATGAAAACATGCTCTTTCCATCTGAGCAGAAAGGAAACTACCCAACAGCAGAGGAACAAAAGATCAACTCCTAATTGACAAGATGATTTTGGAAAACTGCAGAAGAAGGAAGACCATCTTGAATATAGCATGGATTGATTACAAGAAGACATTTGACTCCCTATCACATGATTGAATAATCAAGTGCCAAGAAATAAGAGGAGTCAGTAGAAACATCAGAAGCTTTGTGCAAAGATTGATGGCACAATGGAAGACACAATTGCTAGTCAATGGTGATAGATTGGAAGAGGTTACTATCAAGAGGAATCTTTCGAGGAGATTCACTTTCATCACTACTGATTCTTCTGTCAAAGATACTGAATATCTCAAGCCATGGCTATCAAAAATTAAAAACATCTGCCAGTCTGAAACTGTATGGTGTCAGCCCTTTGAGGTAGTCCAGACAAGAAGCACAAACCATGTGTACTAACACTACCTTTATTGCAAGTCTAAAAGTATTTTCCCCCTCAATTTTACTTTCTAGAAAATGAGGAGAGGTATCTTTTAAAATGCTTCTCATGCCCTTTGGTTTCTTTGAGCTAAGATACCTTTTGCATGACAGTTACCTAGTCTGTAGTTCTTTCAAGGTCATTTCCACATACCATTACAAACTGCATAAAGCATCTTCTCAACGTTGAAATGTACCATTCTTCATAGGCCTACTATTTTTCTCTAAGATTTTTGCAAAATTTATGAAAAGATTAAATATAATAAAAAAATTGGTTAGAATGTGTGACTGACATATGCCAACAACTCTGACTCTTATTATTTATTATGCAACTTTATCAACTGTATGTAATAGAAAAATAAAAACATAGTTAGAATTTCATCCAACAAAATTAGTTCACAGCTCAATTAATCCAACAAAAATCAGTGATTGTAACTTAAACAAATTGAATCTGTCTTCTGTGACTTGAATGCATTATTTCATCTCTTGAATGTCAGACTCCTGATCTGATCTTCTGAAATACCTTTCAGGTATTTAAAGAGTGCCATATTTTCCTCCAGTCCTGTCTTCTCAAGTTTAAATACATTCATCTCTTTTAATCTCTCTTTGTACGCCTTAGTTTTCTAAATCTTCTGATCATCAACATTGCTCTTCCCAGAATCTGTTTCTGAACTGTATCAATTCTTAAAAGTCTGATTCCAAAATTTTACATAGTATTCAAGATAAAGTCTTACAAATGCGTAAAAGAGGAAGGATTACTTTCCATAATTGGGAAAAATTGGGGTGTAAGAAGAATTGCTTTTAAATAGTACATACTCAAAACACATTTCTGGTAATTTGGTTCCTATATGTAATAAAATGGGGTTTAGTTGCAGCTATGGGGCAAAACACAGTGATTCCACACAGAAATAGCTGTGGGGGTGGGTGAAGCAGGAAAAAGGCATGGCTAGCAGTGATAGCTGAGCAGAGGGTCCTGCAGAGGCATGTTAATGGAATATTCCAGTTTTTGATGATCAATAGCAAATGAGGGAAGGAAGGAATAAAAAGAGCTGGAAGGCTGCTCTAAGAGCTACTGAGGGATGACATGCACTAGTGCTGCTCTAGGTGCCCTTTAAAATCACTCCAGGATTTCTCCATATTTTTTTAAATCAAAATCCAAGAATATCAAACATATTCCAGGATGAGTTTCTGCTGAATATGGCTGATCTATTATGGCTTAGCAAGAGCATCTGGATAGCAGTTGTTTCTCCTGGGCAAAGTAAAACGTATTTTCCCCTTCATGCTCACTCCTGGAAATCTCTTGCATTTGCCTTTGTTGTTGTCGTTGGTAAACATATTGCTGGATCATACTCTGATAGGTTTGAGTTCTATTTTTGCCCTCTGGGGCAGTGGCCCCCAACCTTTTGAGCACCAGGAACATATTTTCCACTTCATGCTCACTCCTGGAAATCTCTTGCATTTGCCTTTGTTGTCGTTGGTAAACATATTGCTGGATCATACTCTGATAGGTTTGAGTTCTATTTTTGCCCTCTGGGGCAGTGGCCCCCAACCTTTTGAGCACCAGGAACCGGTTCTGTGGAGAGAGGTTTTTCCGCGGACCGGAGTGGACCTGTTTCGTGTGCTGCCTGCATCCCGCGAATGGAGCTTCGCTTGTATGCGTGGCCCAGTTTCTGGCATGCCACGGCCTGGTGCCGGTCCACAGATCGGGGGGTTGGGGACCCTGTTCTAGGGTATTATTTATGCCACCCAAAGTGGTGTTATCTAAAAATATGGTGAGTAATCTCTCCAGTTCATTACTAAAAGCCTTAAAGAATGCAGGATCCAGGGCTGAACCTTGTGCTATCTTCCTTCTCACTGCCTTGCTCCAATTTGCTAAGAACCTTTGAGTTAGTTTTTGAGCTCGCTCACATGACCATTTATCATGTCATCTAGCCAACATAAAATTAGCTTGGTAATTAGAATGTTGCAAATTATTTCATCAAATATCTTGCTAAAATGAAGATGTGTTGTCCTCTAATATTATCTGCAAGAAGAATGGACACCAGGGAAACATTTCTTGTGAGCACCATCACTAAAGTTGCTTTACTTTTACTCATTGCATTGTGAGTCAAAATCATCAGTGGTAACACATCCTAACTGACATTAATGTACAGTCTGGATGCTGCCATAGGATATTGTCTGATTTCATACTTCTAAGAATGCAGGAACTTACTTTGTTCTAGAAACCTGATTCTGCAAGTTTGTATCTGCTAAAATTGTTCTTTTAATTATTTTATCTTTACCCCCAACTTACTTATGAAGAATTCAGGACCGCATGCAAACCGCTTGCTCCCTTCTCTCCATTTTTATCCACACAAGATATTATTCACATTATCAAATCAATTTTATTGCAGTCATTAACTAGCACAGCTGTGGAAAAATTAAGCTGAGAGTATATAGTAAGCTAACTGTAGATCACTTATAATTTATTTTATTATTTGCACCCTGATTTTCAAAATGCTAATTCTTCTGAAATAGCATTTAAGCATCATTAGTACTTGATTTGTTAATACTTTAATAAATATCAAATATATGACATCAGGATCCCTCCTAAGGATTATTGATAGTAAAGCACTATGCTTCTCTCGTTAGAGACCCTAGCTAGGATCCTCTCAAGTTCTTAGAATACCTTACAGAAAAATTACGGTCACTTAAAGATTCATATTTATTAACGTTCGACTCGAATATTGTAAACTAGTTGTTCGTACGAAAGTGGAATTATACGTTGAGTTAAACCCGATCCTTGAGTTCGTAACCTGATCCTAAAACCAACTAGACCCAACCGTTTGGTCTGGTGCCTGGGAGGGAAGTCTATTTCTGTTTATGTTTTTAGGGTTTGTTGCGAACTGCCTAAAATCTGTATGAGCTAGTTAGCCATATAAGTTCTGCAAATAAATTAAAAAGCAGACAAAAAAACCCTCCTGTTGAAAAATATGTCTTATTTTGCAGGTTGTCCTGGAGACTGAGATCACGAACAAGTCTGCATTGAAACTTTATGAAAACCTTGGCTTTGTGCGAGACAAGAGGTTGTTCAGATACTATTTAAATGGAGTTGATGCATTGCGTCTTAAACTTTGGCTGCGTTAATTGGAGGACTTTTCTTCTCAACAAACATGGCAGCAGCATCTTTTGCATTCAATGCAATTTGTGTGGAATTGCTTTGCAGTTGGACGTAATAACTTCCATACAGCTCTTCTTTGTGAGTGTCTCATCGAGCATTGCACCTAAATTGTTGCACTGTGTGGCATGGCGCATCTTGTTCTGAATTTACAACAGGTTGTTTCAGACTTCAAATCCTCTTGGTAACCAGGAAGATGTGCCAATAGGTAGCCAAGAGCTCCTCTTTTCATTTGCAAGTCTACTGACTTCTGTTATATAAATGGTGAACATTTTATCAAGAACCTGTGTATACAGAACACAATCTTTTTTCGGTTTAAGAGAGAAAGAAAAGCCAATGTAATTGTAAAATTCTATAAGTATACTAACATTTCATACAAATCTCACCATAGTTTTTTTTTTTCCTGGGGAAAATAAAAATTACTTCAACTTTAGGTTTTATTTTTCAATATTGAACTTTCCATTCTTAAATATTGGTACCTCAGTGATTAGTGGATGAAAAAAATGTATTGTAGGGTGGGGTGTGTGTTACATCGAGTAACGGTAACAATTAAATTGCGTCTGCCAGTGCCTGTAGAAATACGTATATTTGTCTCCACTGCTAATTTGAGTGCATGCTTTCTTTTCTTGATTTTTTTTTTGTCTTTGCAAGAATGGCTTTTATTTAAACTCTGGGTTTGATAATAAATTATTTCATTTACCATTTGGACAGAACTCCCATGTGAGGGCTTAAGAAGCCCTTGTCTTACAGTAAAAAGTCTAAGCTATTTTTTAGAAGAACAATTATGAGTAGCTGCTAAAAGGGAGTCTGATGCACTTTTTCCTTTAAAGAGAGTGAGGGATCTTTTTAAAAAAGCAAACAAACAACAAATTAATGTAATCTGAATTCACTTTTATTTAATTAGAATTATCACCAGAATAGCTAAAAGAACCATTATTTTAAAATAATTGAATGAATTTAAATTCTGCTCGGACTCATGCTTAATTTCCATGTTTTAAAAATGCTTCTGTCTTCAGTTCTTGCTCTTGAAAATGAATTTCAAACTGCAATACCATGTTTGTTCTTTAGCTGCTTTCACTTTATTTGTTTATTTTAGAAAAGCCAGATCTCTTGCAGTTTTAATCTTTTTCTGAATCATTTGACAGAGAAGTGTCCAAAGGTTGGTTTTTAGTTCTTCCCTCTTTTTAAAATCATCTACATGGGCTTGTATTCTTTTTCACCAATTACACTGTGTACTTCTGTCTGTCAGTGCAATATGTAAAGCAAATCACTTCTTTTTGGCAGTTCAGCAATGACAGCATTAGTATATAATATATAAAAGCAAAATCTAAAATAAGATTGATCCCAAATAACTCATGGGGAAAAAAATCTTCTATTGACAGGAAACCTTTCAGAATTCAAGTTTGCCTTACTATGTAATATGTTAAGTTCAATCATTTTATAAAACGGTTTAAGTTACTGTACATTTGAGAGGACTTTATCTCTAGTCCTCTGGAGAAGAATACCCATTCTGGATAGTTTAGCAAATTTAAAGGAAGGCCATCTTTATTTTGCACAGTCTGAGCATTTCCCCCACTATGTATAAGTTGTGAATTGTATTTGGGAAAAAATAAAGGATTTTAATTTAAAACTGGCACTTATCTCCTGATACGTTTTGTATAGCTGGCTTCCCCTTTTTCTTTCATCCACTTGATGGTTGAATTTGAGTTCTTAGCAGCTTTCTGCAATGTATGCAGCACCAGGCTTGAGCAGTAGATAACTGAATGCCGAGCACCATCAAATATTTTAAGCTCTAGTGTAGTCTTCCTAGTTGGCTGTGTTTACTTCACCTGGAAGGTGTCAGACTGAAGAAAGCTCTTCTAAACCACCAGGTAAGCCCAGTTTGCAATGAATTGAGATATTTAGAGAATGGGGCAATACTGTTAAATTGTGACACAGTCCTGTGACAACATCAGACTGGAAATTTCTTTTTTAATTACTTACACTTTTTTAAAAAAAAATAACTTTCCTACAAGTGAACCAGGAAAATTAGAGAATGCCCCCAACTATTAATTGTTTTCAGGAGAATTCTTGTGTTCATTTCTTTTGGGCTTCTTTAATTCCAATTAACAAAGTTTTCATGTTCTGGATTAATGTGTTGGTGGTACTTGAAGGTGTTATATTAGCTGGGTTTTCCCTAAGATTTAAATCAATAATGAAGATCCTTATTGTTTAATCCATAAGGCTTCACTGCTTAAAAACACCTCTGTTAAATAGGAATATGAAATAGAAAATTAGATTTCAAACCTCTAAGAAAAGTTGTTTACCACATTATTTTTTGACTGTCAGTATAAACTCATTGAATTACTTTTATTTTTAAAAATAAAACAATCAGAAGGTAGGTTTAAGACTAATTTCTCTGGATGATCTGAAATAAACATTTCTGTCTATTCCTCACCCCCCCAAAAAAAAATTCTTGTAAATGTTGCTAAAATGAAAGTGGCTGAAAAGATGCATGCAAAGTCTGTAATCTGATATTCAGCAGTTAGCTGCTGATGGGAGCAAAAATGTGTGTGGTGAAGGACTGGAAGCTTAAAAAATAGGTACAGAGGTATCTTTCTTCACTTTCCAATTTATGTTCTACAAATGGCATTTGAGCTTTAGATACTGATTTGAAATGTTCGGCAGTATTGTGTTTTGTTCTCAAATATGTAGCAACATTTCAATCAGTATTTAAAATTCAATTGTTAAGCAAAATGTATATAACATCCTATGATTGTAAGAACATTTAAATAGTAATTCTACATTGCAAAATCTGTGGAAATACAGGGCAGTTTCTAGTGAATATACAAAGTATCTTTCGGATTAAATTCTTTCGTTTTATGTAATCTTCTCAATGATAGTGATGGAGTGTCTCAGACATGTTTACCTAGGGCCAATAGGTAAAATGGTATTATTTTCCTTACAACAGGAGTCCAAGTTTTTATATTAGACGACAGGACGTGACTTTTTACTGTGTAGTGTCAATCAGTAACTGACTTCTTTGTTCCGAACCGTTGTAGTTACAAGTTCATGCTACCAGTTCTAACAGTTGCTAAAGTATCATCTGATTATGAGATTGTTTCCTAATTTAAAATATTAAAACTACAAGATGAGCTGGTCTATTTATAAGAAAGAATATGAGCTTGTGAATCTCTTTGCTGTTTATGTGAAAGTATAAGTGAATGAGGTATAAAGGCTCACCCTTTGTCATTAGGATTTCAGTTGTACACTTATAACAAAAATCCCTAGCAATAGCTGACAACAACACATATTTGCAACATGGATGTGTAGAAACTCTTTAGAAATGTGGCTACTAACCTAAGCCCTTTAATTATCCATTATTAAGAATAAAACAAAGCAAACTGAAAATACAGCAAGTTGTTCATCATGCTCCCAGTGGCCTGCATAAAATCTTGGTGTAAAAAAAAATAGCCTGCATCTGAGCTAGTGGGACTTACTTTTGAGAAAGCACACTTAGGATTGCACCACAGTCAGCCCAAGGAATTAAATAACTCTCATTATCCCATTACACCCTTTTCCACTGCTTCTCCAATCTAGTGTCCTTTAACAACAATGGATCTACTAAATTATTTAACAAATTTATTAGCGGCTTAACTCACACAAAGGTGACTCCAGGCAGCTTAAAAATCATTTAAAAATGCATCCCATAATAAAAACCCATAATCTCTTCCACCCCACCCCACGGCACCAACAACACAAACCATGACACCAGCCACTTGATTAGCTCCATCTCCATTTGTGGTCCCTAGACCAGTGGTTCTCAACCTGTGGGTCGGGACCCCATTTGGGGTCGATCGACCATTTCATGGGGGTCGCCAAGCAAGGCTGTCCGCCATTTTTTTTGTCTGCCATTTTTTCCCCTTTTCCGGTGGGTGCCTTACCTCCCTTGGGCTGGGCCAGCTGGTGGTCGGCCTGCTCCGTCTCTGCCGCTTGCCAGCTACGCCTCGGCCGGCGCAGGGGGCGGAACGACGCATGTGCGGTGCTCCCGGGCAGGGAAAGTCCTCGACTTAAGACCGGCTGGGTAGTCCTCGACTTACGAGCAGTTTAGTCCTCGACTTACGACCGGTTGGGGTCGCGGCATTAAAAAGGTTGAGAACCACTGCCCTAGACCCACATGGGGTCCCCAGACCCACATTTTGGTGCCTTTCAAAAAAGCAAAATGATGTCAGAATTCCTACATAAAATGCATTCTAATGAATAATTCTGGGACTTGTAATCTCAATGCCTACTGGAAACTCTGGGTTAAAAAAGCTGGCCCTGTTGCGTTATTTGCCCATTAACACATTTGGCTCTGGCTGACCATCTTTCTCCTTTAATAGATGCGATCCTGATCTAGAAAAAAAAAAGCCGAGAGGCTTAGACTTGTTTATCTTTCTGCCTTCCCCCCCCACCCCCCATCAGTTGCTGAAACTAAACTCTCTGCCTCTGCTCTCCAATCTCTCAGCAGTGTTTCTCAACCTTGACAATTTTAAGGCATGTGGACTTCAACTCCCAGAATTCCACAGCCAGCATTGCTGGCTGTGGAATTCTGGGAGTTGAAGTCCACATGCCTTAAAATTGTCAAGGTTGAGAAACACTTGGAGTCTATCCCTTTTAAAAGCCTCATTTACTAAATCACTGCACGCCTGGAAAGAGGGTGACAAAATCTGGAAGTTACTTACCTTGACTCCAGGCTGAAGAGTAGAAGAAAGGAATGAAGCAAGCAAAGAGAATCTTTCTGCAGTTTTTTGCCTTCAAGGACCTGAAGAAAAAAATTCAGCTCAAAAACTTTAGCTGGCTAGAGCGCAGCACGTGCAGCAAATGGGGCAAAACCTGGGTCCTTGCAAAGTGCGTGGCAGTTTGTCTAACTGCCTTCAGAAGCCAACTAGGACTTCACTTTTAGATTCCTAGCTGGGTCTTAAAAGGCAGTCAAGTAAACAGCAAAAAGCTTTTAAAGACATCTTAGCTAGATCCTAAAGCAGGGGCAGTCAACCTTGGCTCTTTTATGACTCGTGGACTTCAACTCCCAGAATTCCTGAGCCAGCTAAGGTAAGCTGGCTCAGGAATTCTGGGAATTGAAGTCCACGAGTCATAAAAGAGCCAAGGTTGACTACCCCTGCCCTAAAGGAACAGCAAAAACAAAGCCAACCCCTTTGCAAAAAGGCAGCTTCTGCCTCCCTACCTTTCAAACCCTATGTTCGAGTTTGCAGGGCATTCTAAGGCAGCGGTTCTCAACCTATGGGTCACAACCCCATTTGGGGTGGATCGACCATTTCACGGGGGTCGCCAAGCAAGGCTGTCCGCCATTTTTTTTTGTCCGCCATTTTTATTCCCTTTTCCGGCAGGTGCCTTACTTCCCTTGGGCTGGGCCAGCTGGTGGTCGGCCTGCTCCGTCTCTGCCGCTTGCCAGCTACGCCTCGGCCGGCGCAGGGGGCGGAACCACGCAAGTGCGGCGCTCCCCGGCAGGGAAAGTCCTCGACTTACG